GAGATGTTTGTAGGTGATTTCACTTTATGTGAATCAAGATACTGTCCAGACAACTTTATGAACGCAAGACATGGCCAGGTTGACAAATGTGAATGATGCAATTATTGAAAACAAATTCTCCCGTTTCAGGTAAAGATATTCACTCTTTGAACATGCTAAAGGGAAGATCAAGCCATAGACATACAGAAGAATAGAGAGTTTTGATGAGTAAGCATTGAAAAACAAAAGCACCAAAAAGGGGTATTTACAAGGAATTATTTACAAGTTGCTAAGATCAAATGGACAATTTCATCCTATAAGCAGAAGTGGGTCTGTGGACCTGAGAATATGGGGGGGGCAAATATATTCATTTCCCAAAAAGTTGAAGAAAATGTGTTATTCTGATTCTATAGAGTGTAAGCTAACCACCATGCCTGTTTGTAGCATTTAACAGGACACTAATACATCAAATGTCAAAGAAGTCTGTGTTAGATATCCCCATAAACAATATAAAATATAATGTTTAGAGATTATTGTTTATATTAAGAAAATCAAGGAACCAAATAGATTTTGACAACTGAATTGTTTTATTATTCGATGACATTACTTCTTGCATTTTTTTCCGTTTTTGTTTTATGGGTTGTTATATTCAAAAACCAGTCAGTTAGCATCTGAACTTAACGTAACTGTGAACAGAAAGGTTTTTTACATGTTCAGTATACCTGTCACCTAGGTTTTGAGTTCACTCTTTGTGACTCTAGCTCTGACTCACTGCTATGAAGATAATGTCTTCACTGAGTAAATCCCTTTTCTCTTTTTTCAGAAGTGCTGCAATTTCCTGGTAATTAGTAATTTGAGCACATTGTTTTAAGTTATGCTTCTCAGGGTCCTTTGCCCTTCTCCCTAGTTCATCTCTCTACAGGGCAATACCTTTGCTTTTCACTTTTCTCCTGCAGGATACCGTCCTTTCTTTTCTTTTTTTTTTCTTTTTTTTAATAGTTTATTGTCAGGTTGCTTTCCATATAACACCCAGTGCTCATCCCCACAAGTGCTGTCCTCCATGCCCATCTCCCCCCTTCCCCCTCCCCCACCCCCATTAGCCCTCAATTTGTTCTCAGCATTCAGGATACTGTCTTTTCAAAGTCATAGATGACTAATTATTATGGTCCTATAAACATGGCTGGTGTTCCTAATGGGATATGATTCTCCATGATCGCATGATTTGCCTTTCACAATTTTGACTCTGCAGCTGAGAACTACTTAACGTTCAGTTTTGTCACTTTTGTTAATCTGTTACTTTTTCCTTGATCGACTCTTATACTAGTATATACAATCACAGTACAATGGGGGACAAAGAGGATTTAGTTTCATAACTTTGATAGATATCTTTGATTCATTTCAAAATTATATCCCTGTTTTATATAATATAAAGCACAGAGAAAGCTTCCTAGGCATCCCTTGTCTGTGTCTCTCTTCATCAAAATGGGGACTAAAAAGTTTACATTCTAAAATGTTTATTTAAGAAACATTGTAATATTTTAAGTAGACCCTCTGTGGTAGGTCCAGGGTCAGGATAATGGAAAGATGGCTAAATTTGTCTTGGGTTCTATGCTGCTAGCACAGACCTGCAAATAGGACTATGCTGGTCTCAAATTCCACTCAGGGAAATACAATGGAAGGCAAAACTTCTTCCTTATTATATAGTTTAATACAAATCTTACGGTGAAGAATAGCTATAATATTTTACAATTAGTATGCACTTATTTTGTTCACCTGTTTACCCACATCTTGTTTATGTATGTATCAATTCTGCATCTGCAAAGAATTTGAAGTTGTTTAAAATAAGAATAAATATTCATAAGAGAATTAAAAATAAAACTAGAAAGAGCAGAATCCCTACAAGGGAAAGGGATTTCAGGCTTAGTTAGAAGTTTAAGAAACCACATGGACATTGGGTGAAACTGAATTATTATTAGATGGAATCAACAAACCTAGATCCAAATACTTACATTTCAGTCTGTATTTTAATAACAGATGACCTGTTTTTTTCATCTCATTGAGAAGATGGAAATAATCAGAAGAGAAATTCCCTGTCCTCCCACACTGTTGATTATTTAAAAAAATTTTTAATGTTTATTTAAGAAAGAGAGAGAGAGAGAGCAAGCAGGGGAGGGACAGAGAGAGGGAGAGGGAGGGGGAGACCCAGAATCAGAAGCAGACTCCAAGCTCTGAGCTGTTAGCACAGAGCCGAAGGTGGGGCTCAAACTCACGGACCACAAGATCATAACCTGAGCCGCAGTCGGATGCTTAACTGACTGCTTTGCAGGTAGAAAGATACAGAGAGCAATGGAGGAACTGAGCTACATTACCTCAGTTCTCTCTCCCCAGTTCAGCATCATGTCCATTCCTCCTCTGTTCCTGGTGAGAAGTGATGAGGTGGAGGGGCTAGGAATGTGATTCTATTGAGGTCTGCTGAGGAAAGCATGAAGTAAAAGAAGAAGGTCATCCCCCATTACTGCCTGTGCGTCCTTCCTATCTCCCTTGAACCTCAAAGAGTTAGTTGTACTAGGTCTTGGCCTGTCCATTCCATGGCCTTATCATAGGTTTCCCTTGCTTGAACCAATCCAACTATGCTGACTCTTAATTCTGAATTATTTTCCATATCCTCCTCTCCATGCCCCACAAAGGTCTCACAGAAGGACTTTCGGGGTCTGTTCCATGCCTCATGGGAACTAGGGGGAACCAGACTGGGGTTCCCTCAGGTCCTCCCCATGCCAAACTCTACCCATCTGTTACTTTACTGGGGCTGTCCCACATGGACATAGGGCTTCCCTTGCACCTGGATTTGACAAACTGGCATTCAATGTTGCCCTCAACAAGAGGAGCATCGATGGACAAGCATGGTGAAGACCTGACTGGATTAGATTCAAGAGAGATGGGAGGAAGTAGACAAGTGAAAATACAGGCAGACCGAGGGCTCCCGGGACATTATAGCAACACCAGACACTAATATTTATGCGATTACTACCATTAGCCATCTGTGACAGAATTACTCATTCCCTTAAATATGTACTTTCAAAAATGTTTTTACCATTGAATCAATATTTCAACCAAAGAAATACCTCTGAACCTTAAGTTATCACAAACATTAACTCCTCTAACAAAGCCAATTTTCACAACTATGCTGTATGGACTTTTGTACCTTCATTTATCAGATGAAGAGAAGCATCAATATACCAGGTTTTGCTTCACAAGTTTAGGAGCAGGAAAAACTCATCTAAGATGAGTAAAACTGGGAAAGCTTCTCTTTCCCCATTGTCTTCTTCTTACTCTGCTGTACTTGTGGGGACGTGCAGGTGATACCATGACTGGAGTTGCCAAAACAATTGAGACACTTCTACCAGGAGCCACCTCTACCGGGTGGCGTGGTCACTGTGCGTGAACATATGGTGGCAGCTTGTGACCTTTGGCTTCCAGCTTCTGTGTGCTTAATTGACGTGAGCTGGCACGAACTAGAATCTTGCTCCCACTGTGATTCTACTTTCCTGCACACAGGCAGTAAGATGGGTACATTGACCTAAGGGCTTAGTCACTATGTTCTCTTTCCTCTTTTTAGACATTATTCAGGCCTTGAGGGGATTGCATTTCTTTAGCTGGCACAGACTTAGGGGCCCTCTGGGAAAAGAGAGGCTTGCTTGGGCCTCTAGCCTAAGTTGCACATTCTAACTTCATGGGGGATTCTTACATTATGGTATTGGGCCATAGTCCAGCTAAGAGTAAAGTGATGATTTGACTGCCCTTTTGTCATTATCCCATTGAGTATATAAATATCATAGAACCCTCATGGAGGAATCAGGGCATCGGATCACACAATAGATCACTACTCTGGGTCTTGCGAGCATCATAACACCTTCAAATCCCTTCACCTCTCAGCCCTGAAAAAGACCCATATCCAGTTCCAATATCTTGGATTTCTATCCCCTATTTGAATATGCCAAAACATGGCCTAGGTGAGTTCCAAAGGAGGAACAATTTAAATTGTAAACCTTTGGTATATCTTATATTAGATAGTGCAGTATCCAGATAAAGCCGGCTTGCAGGGACAGGAAACATACATATGAGCTCTGGTTAAAAATGGCATAAAATGGGACACCTGGATGGCTCAGTCGATTAGGCGTCCGACTTCGGCTCAGGTCATGATCTCACAGTTTGTGAGTCTGAGCCTGGCATTGGGCTCTGTGCTGATGGCTCAGAGCCTGGAGCCTGCTTCGAATTCTCTGTCTCCTTCTCTCTCTGCCCCTCCCCAACTTGTGCTCTGTCTCTCTCTGTCTCTCAAAAATCAATACATGTAAAAAAATGTTTTTTAATGGTATAAAATGATGGAGGTCTTTACTTCTGGCAAATTATGGTTTAAGTCAAGAATTCCAAACTGTAGCCTGAAAACAACCTGCTGCTTAAGCAACAAACATTAATTCCAAAGTCGTAGTTCTTTGAACTGGCTCATTTCTGAAAAAATGGGTGTTTTGTGAAAGTTTTGGGGAAAACACTTATGCTTTGGAACAAACTGTGGTGCGATGTTATTTTTAGGAAAGGCTTTTGCAAAAGTAACCGACAATGTTTTTGTTTGCTCATTCATCAGTTTTTGCTTTCCTCTTACATACTGCCCTTTTTAGCTTTCCCCAGCTTCTTCATGGGGTCAAGTAGGCAGGGCTATTGTCTTCCTGCTACAAATCCAATCCCAGCAACAACAATGCTCTCTAAATTCATTGTTGCTGTCATGCAGCTTAACTGGGTGATTAAGCTCTGAGAAATAAAATAAAATTAGGTGAATGATATTTTGGGTATCTGAGATCATCAAGTTATTTATGACGAGACAAAGCTATGGTTAATATTAGTGCCAGAGAAAAAGTCAACGCTCAGGGATCTAGAGGGCCAGGGAAGGAAAACACAGATTCTGTGTACAGGGACTGTGGGTATTTGATGGTGTTTTACCTATTCATGTGGAAGAAATTACCTAAAAATTGAGCATCTAAAAGCACCCATTTTATTACGTGGCAGTAAGTTTGTGGTCGGGAATTCAGGAAGTGGCAATTCTCTCTTGTGGCCCCCCATGCTGTTGCAGTCAGACGTTGGCAGGGGCTCCCAGCATCTGCAGTAGGACTCAGAATGACTCACAGGGCAGTCAGCTGAGGTGGTCACCCAGAGCAAGGGCACAAGGACTCTCTGTATGGCCTGGGCTTCTCACAGCATGGCTGCTGGGTCCGGGGAGGAGAGTCCCATGTGCAGCACCCACCTAGGCTGCGTTCCAAGAAACAAGGCAAGGGCTGCCATGTGATCTTCTGATCCAGCCCTGGACATCACATGGTGTCATTCTCCCTTGCATTATATCAGTTACAAGGCCACCCTGGTTGCAAAGAAAGGGGCATTAGACCCAACCTCTTAAAGGGAGAAATGTTAAAGAACTCATGGCCTCTCTCAGTCTACCAAAAGTTGGCTGATCAACTACCCCAAACCCAGCTTCTTAGACTGCTAAGAAGAATCTCTTTCAGGAAAGATACAATAATAAGTGACAAAATTTATTTTAGAGACTTGCCTTTCTACTTCTTGCAGCTTAAATGAATAGAGTGATTATTTCTGCTGGGCTCATAGGAAAAACAATAATCTTTTTTTTTTTCCCTGTTATTCTGTTTACAGGTGTACATATTGTGAAATTCTTGCAGGGATTGAAGAGATTGTCTTATTAACAGTGATTTTCAGAAGTTAATTTTCAATCTGCTCTTTTAAACCAGGAATATTATTTTTGACCAGATATATTGAGTGTAAGTAGTCCAAACGGTCAAGTTATTTTTCTGAATTGTTCTAATTCAAATATTCATATTTTTAAAGTGTAGTTTTCAAAGAACATGCTTTCGTCACACAGAATCTTCCAGCAGAAATGTCATTCATAGAACGCTGATGCAATAAATGCTTATATAAAGGAGTCTATGTTTTTGTTTGATATGGCCTGTGGATAAAAAGAATGAATATTATCACTTGAACAATGTGTGTAGGTTTGACAGGTGTAGTTAAACAAGTGTCTGTTTGTCATTTTTTTTTCTCCCTTTGAATTTTCCAGGAAAACTTCAACTTTATCTTGGCTTATTTGGTTTGAAGTCATACAGTGGCATTTGACCCCCGTTCAAAGAAAAAAAAAAATCACTGCAAGCTGTTAGAATAGTTGTTTTCACCTTCAAGCTGAAGTGTAAATAGAGTTCAACAAATCAAAACCAAAAAAAAAGTAGAAAGTAATTGAAAGTATTTATTGTCATCACTCCTGGCCCAATGTTTCACATGCATAGGAATTAGAGAACTGATCTGTGCCTTCTAGATCAGTAGGTCTAGAAAGGGGCTGGAGATTATGGATTTTCAAAAGCTCCCAGGAGATGTCAATGGCCCTGGTTAACAGAACATATTTGGAGCAGCAAAGTAGGCTAACTTAGCAGTAATTAGTTGCGACAGGATGGGACACATTGGGAAAGAGAGACTGCCTATCTGAGCAACATGGGCTTCCAAGAATAACACATTTCTATGTATTTAAAACTCTTCTCAAACTTATGATTTTTAAAAATTTGGTTAAACTTTTTATTGATGGTAAAATATAGGAAAATACAATGGAAACACATGCTTTGTGTTATGAATTTTAATGGAAAATTATGGGGAATATAAAGTATTGACTCATAATTACAGTTAAGTGGATGACAAAAGGTATTCATTATACATTATACATTAGTATAGCTGAGGAAGGACACCCATTTTCCAGAGAGTAAAAACAAAGCTGATTCCGATAAATGGTTTTGAGTGATATTGAAAAAATTATTTACAATGCTAATGTTAATTATAGTGGACTTAGCCAAGTTTCTGGACCATTGATTGTAGCTTTATAGACATAAAAGATTTTATGTGCTTTTTCTTTAAAGCATATATTTTATAATAGGAAATATGATGAAATAAAGCACATTGAGAAAAACAAACCAAACAGATAAACTAAAAACATCAAGAAATCTACTGTTAATATTTTGATACCTCTTTCCATATTTTTTTTAAAAATCAGCATATAGTTTTTTAAACATTCAAAAATGTTTTTTACTTATTTTAGCTGACTTTTTACCTAACATTTCATTAAGATTCCATTTAAAATATTTTGTTATGACATTTTTAGTAGCTTTGTAATGCTTGATTATGCAGGTATTTCATAATTTATTCAATAATCTTATTTTTCAAAGTTGCTTCTATTTTTCACTATTTTGCATGTTATAAACATTCTTAAATGCTGACTTTTGTACATGCTCTCCATTTTTTCTTATGGAAAACTTTTGTTTACTAGTTCAAATGTGCATTTTTCTAATGTTCTTGTATATATAATACATTAATGTCAATCAGAAATTTTCTTTCTGAAATGCACAAAACTTGACTCCCTGCAGCTCAGTCACTATCTTAATCTGCTAATTTGCCCCTTTATAAATGAGACTTCTCAAACTATACTGTGAAAAATCCACTCTCATACACAGTTAATGGAAGAGTAAATCAGAGCACTATTCCTGGAAGATAATTTTTACCTGAATATTAAGAGCCTTGAGAATGTCCATACCCTTTGACCTATTTCTGAGAATTTAGCCTAAAGCAACAGCTCGAAATGTGAACAATTCTACACAAGACAGTCCACTTATATTTTTAATAGCAAAGTCTTGTAAGCACACTAATTGTATAAAAGTGTAAAGAAATGATTATGTAAGTTATGGTATATGTATTAAAATTATTAGGTAAGATTAAAAATATGTTTACAAAGGGTATAAATATGCATAAAAAATGCTGGGTGGAAGGAAATATTCCCAGATCATTGAAGGCGGGCTGCCTGTGAGTGGTGAAATTCACATTGCACAACTCAAGGAAGTGTTGTTTACCACCCAAATACAAACTAAGTGTCTTCCTCCCAGAGTTGTGCGATAACGTTGGTGAGATTATTGAATTTTTCATTCTTCTTGATGAGGGGGCACATATACCCTGCTGACTGGCTAGTGGTAGTGGACACCCAAACGGAATTTTTATGAGGAAGACACAAGAAAACTAATAGACAAATGAGATATTTACCGAAAGCCCAAAGTTAAAGAGCTGAACATTAATCGGCACCAGAGGTGCTCAGCCAGATTCTGGAAAACAAAATCTGGAATCAGGGAAATAGACCGGCACTGTAGGATGGCCTCCCTACTTATTAATACTAAAAATAATTAATATTGTAAAATAAAGGAACTCGTTTGATATTTCAGACTACATGTTCAGTGAGTGAAATCTTAATCTCTATTTAAAATCACATTGCACCTGATAGTAGAGAACCGAGTTTGATCAATTCAGGGTAAGTGGATTTTGTCTCAGTTGTCTCTGGTAGGAACTCAGTGAAATCAGGGCCTCATTTGATCCCTCTGCCCCTCCTCTCCCTGGAAGACTCCTAAGTTCCAGCCTCTGCATTGTCCTTCCATCACTGGGGAGAGGTTCCTGGTGCCTGATCATTGGCATCCATCCTTGCCGGTTTCCTCCACTGGGTCTCGATGCACATGCAGGCACAAATGCTGCCCTCACTGTTTTCCAGCTGAGTAAAGCCCAACATTGTCAGCCAGTGCCTAAACAGTGCCTGTCATAGAATAGCTAACCTATAAATATTTGTTTAAAAAAAGGAATTTGAGCACCTGAGTGGCTCAGCTGGTTGAGTGTCTGGCTTCGGCTCAGGTCATGATCTCGCAGTTCATTGTTCAAGCCCCACATCGGGCTTGCTGCTGTCAGCATGTCAGGGCAGAGCCCACTTCAGATGCTCTGATCCTCTTTCTCTGCCCCTCCCCCACTCAAAAATATATATTTTTAAAAAATGAATTAATACCACTTAGGCAAGGAGATAGGTGAAAAGGTAGTTAAGGGATAGGAAGGAATGGGAAAGAAGTTCAGTTACTCCCTGCGTTTACCTTTTAAAATAATAATTAATCATATATATTAGCTCACTAGGTTCCAAGCACTGTGGGAAATTTTATATGCATAATCTTGCTTCGGTTCTAATTGAGCTGAGATCTGGGATCATCAAGGCTGTTTGATCCTGCCTGTCACTGTTTGAAATGGGCTTACTGGCACAGGAACCAAAAGGCTTACTATGTTCTCAGAAATCTCCTTTTTCAAAGCGGCCTTTTAAAAAAATTAAACTTTCTCCTCAGGTTTATGTGTTCATTAGGAGACTCTCTATAAAAATTTTCTTTTGAAAGAATCAAGGAGCACACCTACAACCTTTGTAATCCTTGTTTGGTTCCAGAGGCTACCTGAAAATTTATATGTATAAAATACTTCACAAGTCCTCCACCTGAAATGTCACATGAAAAATACAAGTACTCACTTCATGTTAACCTCTCAACAAAAGTTAATATGTGTATTTAACTTTTTCCCATTGTTCTGAAGGAGGGACAGGAGGAAGCAAAGATGCTCACTAGTGCTGCACCAGTGTTCCCTTATGTAAGATCACAGAGAAGAAATTTGTTTGGAAGTTTTGAAAAGTTACACTCTCCTACTTTGCTTCTGGAAGAAGAACACCCATTATAATCATTATCTGTACATTTCTTGGATGCCTGCTATGTGAAGTACAACTACTAGCAGATTCGTCCTTCCCCAGAAATTTACTCCTGCAATTCTGAAGTTATATAATAAGCTTAGAGACAGTGACTTGCTCTTGTAATTGGATGGAAAAGATAGTGGAGCACATTGCATTCAGGGAATCATTCTTCCTACTTCAACTAAAGCTTCATAGAAATAAAGGAATTTCCACTGCAACTCTAAATTTTTTTTAATGTTTTATTTCTGAGAGAGAGAGAGAGAGAGAGAACAGGGGAGGGCCAGAGAGAGAGGGAGATGCAGAATCCAAAATAGGCTCCAGGCTCTGAGCTAGCTGTCAGCACAGAGCCCGACGTGGGGCTCCAACCCATGAACCTTGAGATCATGACCTGAGCCAAAGTTGGATGCTTAACGGACTGAGCTACCCAGGCGCCCCTCCACTGCAACCTAAAGCTCAGCTATTGTAACATATTTAATTATAGACTATGTTGTTTCTGACTTTAAAATATTAAACCTATTATATATTTCTGAATACACGATGGTTAAAAGTCTTTGTTGTTTAAAACGAATTACACTACCATATGTGCCAAAATGCGAATTCTAAATTTAACGTATGTTAGCAAGGCCTTATTTTTAATAAGATTAGGAAATAAATAGTACATTTAATTAACATTTAATATTATAAAGTACTTAACAAGGGTGCTTTCAAAAGCATTTGGATTACTTAATACTATTAGAACAGATTAATATAAATACTAAAGTAAGTAAAATTTCCATTTTTGCAAATCTAATTATATTTTCCCTGGGGAAAAATGTGCTATGATTTGTTTTAATTCCCTCCCTTCTTTCAATCTCAAAATATTTCAAATACTTTTTTAAGTGTATTAGGACAGCATTTGGAACTGATCTAGCAATGTGAAGTGGCTACATGTTATGTGTGTGACTTGAATGTACTGCCCTCAAGAGGTGGTGGTAATTTTTTATAGCTAGAGGAATAGCTTGGGTTCAGAGGGTCGTGCCCCCATACCTGAGGGAGTGGGCTTTAAAGGACAAAGCCTCCTTTAGACCTTTAAGATCTGAACTCTCCTGAGAGTTTATCTGGACCAACTCCATTACCTTCTCAGTTGAAAACTTCTTTTTCTCATTAAGTTTTGACAAATTGATGTGGGGTCTGTCTATGGACTCATTATAACCTCAAAGTCTGGTGTCTGTTTTTCCTACTCCACTGTACACACAGGAGAGAATGGGAGTGAAAAAGGCAAATAATGTGTACATGTTACTAGGAAGATAATTTGGACGTTCAAGACCTCCTGGAAGCATCTCTAACAATACTTTGGGAACCATTGGTTTAGAGAGAGCAGATAAAAGGAGAAACAATGTTTCCTCAGGTCCCGTTCCCAGCTATCGTCATCTTTGTCACAATGGCCAGAAGGGAAAGCTAAGAAAGACTTCCATATACTGTGCAGAAAAAAAATCCACCATGACGTTTCTCTCCAACTTTGAAAAAGAAAAGGATTTTCTATTTCATTTCTTCAGAAATGAAAATGCCTTACTTTCCTTTCAGACTAGAATCTCTGAGCAAATGAACATGATACTGATTTAACAAGCAAGGAACACTTAGCAGCAGTTTGCAATCTCTATAACATGCCTTAGAAGAGAGTTAGAAAAGTTCCTGAGAAAAAGTACTCTCAAGAGAGTAAACGATTTTGGTTTTAGTGTTGGGAACTTAATCACAAATTAATTGTGGCCACCCTACAAGGAAACAACAGTAGCAAGATGGCCAACTTTACTGTAGATTTCATGCAACGACTGCTAGTAATGATAATAATAATGTTAAGCACAGTGTAGATGTAACTCTCTGTGTGTCATCCTTTCTAGGCTTCAAACAGGCACTAGTGGTCCACATGGTAACAGCAGTCTACAAGTTGACTTTGATCGTAGGCAAATTGTTGTCTCCATCAGGGTCTTGGAAGAATAGAATCCCAGAAAGACAGAAATGGGCAGGACTTTTCATCCAAACTTCTCATTTTGTATATTAAATAATCAATATCCAAGGGGTGATGTGACTCACCATAGGTAACACAATTATCTAGTCATTTAAAGAAAAAAGACCAGAAGACAGATCTCCATACCCTAAGTACACGAATGTTTTCATTACCTCCCTGCACTAACAATAATAATAGCTCACAGTGACAGAGACCTTATCCTATGCTGTTCACTCTTCTAATTTGGTCTCCTCCATTTAAAAAAATAATTAATTTTAATTCTAAAATTATTTTCTTTTTCTTTTTTTAAACTCCTCTGCTTATTTCTAATTTCTTGAGAAAAAACTTAGCTCATTGATTTTCAAATTTCCTGCTTGCTGATATATTCATTTAAGGCAATAGATTTTCTGGTAAATATTGTTTTATGTACATCACACAAATTTTTATACATAATACTTTAATTTTTACTTAGTTCCAAATATTTCATCATTTCTGTTGTGACTTTGTCTCTGATGTATTGATTATATAGAAGTACGCGCGCGTGTGTGTGTGTGTGTTTGTGAGCATGTATGTGTGTGTGTGTGCCTGTACATATACTCACCTCTGGTTAATTTTCAAGTACATGTTTTGTGGGGAAAAGGGTTTATTTGTTTATGTGTTTATCACCTAAAGTCCATAGTATACATCATCATTTACTTTAAGTGTTGTACACTTTATGGGTTTGGATTGATGTGTAACAATATATATCCACCATTATGGTATCACATAGAGTATTTTCACTGCCTCCCCAAAGATCTGTGTTCCACCTGTTCATCCTTCCCTCACCCTTAATGTCTGACAACCATTAATCGTTTTACTGTCTCCATAGTTTTGCCTTTTTTAGAATGTCACATGATTGGATCATATAGTATTTAGCCTTTTCACATTGGCTTTTTTCACTTAGCAATTGTATTCAAGTTTCCTCTGTGTCTTTTCATGGCTTGATAGCTCATTTCTTTTTAACACTGAATAATATTCCAGTGCCGGGTGTACCACAGTTTATTTATCCATTCACCTACTGAAGGACATCTTGGTTGCTTGGAAGGTTTGATAATAATGAATAAAGCTGCTATAAACATTCATATGCAGGTTTTGTGTGGACATAATATCTCAGCCCCTTTGGGTAAATAAGAAGGAACATGATTATTGGATCATCTGGTAAGAGTATGTTTAGTTTTGAAAGAAACCACCAAACTGTCTTCCAAAGTGGCCGCACCATTTTGCATTCTTCCTGCCAATGAATGAGAGTTCTTGCTGCTTAACATCTTTCCTAGAATTTAATGTTGTCAGTCTTTTGGATTTTGGATGTGTAATGGTACATGGTTTTAAACTACAACTCCCTAGTGACATGCTAATATGGACTGAATGCTTATGACCTTACTAACTAGCCCTTATTTACCATCAGTTTCCCATATATTTGTCTCCTTACAAATTGTCACCCCTGATATGTTAACTATCTTGAATTTAAATAAAACCTTGGAAGAAAAAAAAAACTTACTGGAGATCAGATAGTGAGAATAAATAGTACAACC